CCCCCCCCCCCTTTCCCTCTCTCTCCCTTTTTCTTTCATAGGCCTCAGAGGGCTAGGATGAGGTTCTGGGCCAAAGGGAAACAAGGGGAAAAGAAGTCTACAAGAGTAAAACCTGCCACCCAGTCAGAGGTTTCAACACTCTTTGCTGGCTCAGATGTGATTCCAGCTCATCAGTTTCCAGAAGGTAAAAACGGTTGGAAGTTTCATAATTTCTGGGGTTTTTTTGTCATTATAATTTCTGTTTTTTCTTCTTGAAAGCTGGCTGTTTCTCTAGTATTCATAATAACATTCCTGTTAGCCAAGTGTTCTAATGTAAGACCAAACTAGGATTGTTAAATGTTCCTCAATTGATAAAATTAGATACCTGTATTTGAAATTCTAAGAATATGTGGTATAAAATAATGAAGTAATGGTCACTCTAAGCTTAGTTTTCTACACTGCAAAGATTTATCCATCATTCATCTAGTTAGCAAATGGAGTGCTTACTACATGCAAGGCACTGTACTAAATGTAGATTTTCCAGGGTAGATAGGACTACTGTTCTAAGTTTATAGATGATATAAGAATCCAGCTCCAGGATATTTTTGAGAAGTACTGCATACTATTTATTAGGTATCTACATATGCCATTTTCTTGCAGATGTCTGGCACTTTATAACATAGCTGTTATTTTTGGGGAATGAACAAGAACACACTTGAAAGTACCCAGCAGCTACTAACTCCAGGAATTTAAATAACCCCAATAATAGATTCCATTTTTCTGAAGCCTTTGTCCTTTTCAGGCATGACTGACAGTTTTTAACTACTGTGTAAACATCATGAATTCTTCTTCAACATGAATATATATCAGAAATGGGTACATCGTAATGAATGGAAAAATATTAGCTCAGGCTAAAATAGAAAGAGGGCCTGGGGGAAGCTGTTATCTCAGAAGGATAGAACAGACCTTCTAACAATATGTAAGCAAAAGTTTTCATATGTAGAATAAATATAAAACAAGGAATTAAGATCTGTTTCACATAGGAATAGGTAGGCTGGAGGAGTGGCTCTGAAGGAGTGGCAGAGATGTACACCCTTCTTTGTTGTGTCTCAGGACTTTGTATCTATTGGCTGACAAACTCCTATGGAGAAAACAGTTTATTAAATGGATACTGCAAGTTCAGTTTGGAAAACTTAATTTCTCAAGGTGTTAAATTTCTAATATCTTGTCAGATTGATAGTAATTACTTGAAATGTTTTATTTTTTACATTTTTTAGCTGATTCCCAGGATTTCACCTTTTTTTTTTTTTTAACTGCTAATTCCCAAGAAGTTATTTCTTTACTTGAAAATACAAGTAGATTTCATTGTAGGTTTGCATTATAAGAATACCTTATAAAAAGATTAGAGCTTTTTACTTACATTCAGATAAGAATTTATTAAGAAAGCTCTGGGTTTTTAATGATAAACTGAAGTTTCTTTAGAACCATTATAAGAAGCAGACTGCCAAATGAAGTAAATAGATATGTAGTACGATATATATTAAAATTTAGAGTGGTTGATGCTGATTTAAATGTATTTGTATCTTTATATTCTTTATTCTGGTGTCATAGCTGAGATTGTGTTTGTCGCAGTTCCTGCCTAAAGTGGCATTTAGTTATATAGAGGACTTCTTGTTTTGTTATCAAAATTAACTTAGATGGACAGAGGTAAGGACCATACAGACAGTTTGTTAAACAAGCACATGTGAAAACAGGCTAAGTTCTCATGAGACTGCAGATGGGGCTTGGGAAGTCTTGTTTTAGATTATGATGGATTACATGGAACCTCATTTCTCTGGTGTGAAGAATTGCAGGAGAAATGATGCATTGCAATGTAATATACAAAGCCAATTCATTCCAGGAATTCTGGAGAAATTTAGATAGTTATTAGGGATTTATATAAGAAAATCCCAGATATAATGATAGTCAAAAGTAAGCCACATACTATCAGCAAAGTACTTGTGGTTGTAGAATATAGTAAAGAAGAAATAATTACCAAACTCCCTTCATTTGTTGAACGTGTAGATAGGTAGCTGTTCTTTATTTATTTTTTATGAGTAGAATATATTTATTGAGGGAAAGAAAGCTCCTGTCTGAGAGAGGGACAGGAGAGGGGCCCCGAGTGGGTAGTCGCAGGGAAGCTGTCTCTTCCAGGGACTTTTTTTTTTAAACTTACTTTATTTTAATTTTTTTAATGGATTGCAAATTGAAAATAAATTATTTACAAGCATAAATGAATATAACAATAAAATTGTCCAAAATAAAAATGAAGAAAATTTATAGATCAGTCATCATAGTTCACTGTCAAAACCAAGAAACTTATATTCATATAATTAGGATTCTCAAAGTAGAAAGGAGTAGGCAATAAATGTTTAAAGATTTAAAATTTCTGAATTTAGTTCAACTTATTATACCGCATTTCCAAGAAAAATGAACCTTTTGCACAAGAAATTTAAATAAAATCATACCAGAATACACAAAAATGAAATTGTCCAAAACTTACTGTGAAGAGAAAAATCATTAAAGCGTATACATAAAAAATATTAGCTATGGAAGAACAAAATTAAATAGCATCTTATTCCACATTAGAGAGAAAAAAAAGGACCCAAGTGTGTAAGAAACTAGACTAATTAAAGGACT